ATGACTGAGCCACCCAGGCGCCCCTCAAGTCAGTGTTTTACTTGGTAAACATGTCTGAGACCATGCATCCCTGGCTGCTAAGCACCATGGCGGACAGGGCTAGAAAGGTAACAGCTTTATTTTGAGCAGGGGGCAAAGACAAGGCAGCACTTTACAGCTACATTGTAACTACTTTCCATGCTTTTTTAAGATGAACCCCAAACATTTTTAACAGGGTATATAAAAACTTTCATGATTAGGTCCTTTCTGTCTCTTCGGACTCACCTCTTCCCAGCCAGCTCTCTCTCTATAGAACTAATTGAGGATCCCCAGATGGGCTATATACTATCTACACATGCTTTTCTTTCTCCCCAGAAAACTCTCACACACACCCCAGCCTGGTACATACTATTCTTACATCAGGTCCCATTGGTCAGAATGTCACTTTCTCTAAAAGAGTCTTTGTCTACCCTGGTTGCACATTGGCATCCTAAGATTGCATCACCTTAGGAATGTTAAAAAAAAAAAAAACCACACAACCAACCTTGGCATACCATTGAGTTCAAATCTTTTTAGGAGACGGGTATCAATGTTTTAAAAGCTCTTTAGATGATTCTACTGTGTAGCTGGGTTTAAGCGCTACTGATATATACAGACTTACTGTCCCCCTTCCCAATGCTGTGAAAGGCATTCTGTCCTTCAGATCAGGGGTCTGTAAACTTTTTCTGTAGGGAGATATGCAAGTCATACCCGATCATGACTACTCAACTTTGACATCATAGTTTGAAAGCAGCCATAGACAATATGCAAACAAATGGGCATGGTGTGTTCCAGTAAAATTTTCTTTATCAAAATAGGCAGCATTCCAGATTTAGCTTTTGGGTAGACGTTTTCCACACTAGACAATGATTATCTATCTACACCTTTATATGCTAGCAATAACTTCCTTGAAGGCAGAGAATCTTCATTACTCAGCTTAGTAGTTGCCATGCCCAGCACAGTGCCTGACATCACTGGTACTCAGTGAATGCTTTTTGGGGGAACACCTCAGTGAACGAATGTAAGGATGGGGAAATAAGCAATGCCTAAATCCTGATAGAAGCCTGGATTCTTATCAGAAAATGCTTCAGGGCTCTGGGTTTAAGAAGCACACTGGGCAAAGGAGGGAGGGGCCATTGTAAAAACCCATCTTACAATTAAGATGGATGATAGAGCTTTATTTTCTGAAGTCTTTCCCACTCTGACAATCTATGACATGTAAATCATCTCCTAGAAAATTGCTGTTGACAAATATTCATTTAGACCAAGAGAAGAATCCCATCCCAGTTTCCTTTCCTTTATTCTCTAGTGACTCACCCCAAAACATGCTCAAGGTAGCCAAAGAACCACACAAAGGGTCCTCATGTTGGTCAAAGCTTTCAAACACGTTATCTTACTTACATACGCATCCACCCACACACACACATGTCCATTGGTCTTAGGTTCAGATAACTGATTGATCTTTCATAAATGGTACCCCAGATAATATCCCTCTTCCCCAAATTGGTCCATGGTTAGCTATTTCCCCAGGCTAAAATCTAAAAGGATCACCTAACTGCACAAATCTTCCACACTCTTCCCTGACTCATTCATTTTGAGAAGTCCTATCTTCAACTGCTTCTCAAAGTGCTGTCTCCACTTCAGGTGAACCAGAATCTAGAATCCAGGGCGGGTATCAGGTTCACAGCAGTGAACATCACCTGTGTCAGCACTAATAGAGGGAGCACCCCACCACTGCAACACACACACACACACACACACACACACACACTGTAATTTACTTTAAAATTAACAAAATACTTCCCATATGATTATATATGTGACCTTGAACACATTATTTAACCTCTCTGAGCTTTAGTTTCCAATTCCTCAACATTGCCTGAGTCATAAAGTTGTCAAAAGGGTTAAGAAATGATGCATGTGGAGTACTTAACACTATATGGCATATAGACAGCTCCCCCACTATTACTATTATTATTATTTTGTATCCTTTGACCCTCTCCCAAACTCTGTGAGGATAGTCAAGGTAGGGATAATTATCCCTTTTTGGTAGGTAAGAACAAAAGCCCAGGGACGTTAGGGCATCTGCCCCATATAACACAACTCTACATAGCATTAAGCCATAATTAGACCTAGGCCCTCTGATTCCTAGTGGTTTTCCCATCATACCCTACTTCTTTTGAGACTTTACCTACTTTGAAAATATTATAATAAAGTAACCCATGGGTTATTTTAAGTGAAATTGTACTGTGACTAACATGGAATTAGAATTTTGTTTCATGTAACTACAAGGTAGAAGCTGAATATCTGGGGGTCACTACATCTGCCATCAGCAAGCTGTGCGTCATTGGGCAGACAAATGATCCTCTCTGGTTCTGAGTTTCCTCATCTATAAATAGAGAAGATTGGGCAAGATTAGCCTGAGGGTGCCATCCAGCTCCAGAATCCAGGCTGGATTCTCAATTATTCCTGTTCATAGAAAGACGAAGTACTAGGTAATGGAAATCCCCAGATAATCCCTCATGTTGTCTCTGAATCCTTGCACATCAGGCTTCCATCCTTCCCTTCCGTTGCTGACAAGGAGATGTAATTGACTGATTTGGGCTTGATCTTCCTTCTGATCTCATTCATCCTCAGGAGAGGATGAGCAGAAAAATTGCCAAATCAAGGACGGAGACACAAAAGCAAAGGCATCAGTGATTTATCTCTAAGTTGGTTATTTGCTTCTTCAGTTACCAAAAGTGTCTCCACAGCTTTACCTCATGCTACAAAAGGTATGTTCTTGAAGGACACTTTGCAAACCAAATTCCTGTAAATTAAATCATATATTTTATGCAGTGGTGAATCAATGAGGTAAATGAAAGCAGAGCAAAACAAAACAAACAAAACAAACAAACCCACAAAAAACAAATAACAAACAGTGACAAAATAACCTTGTGCTAAAACTTTGCTTGCCTCCCGCTACTCTTTCCACTGTTTTACAAAGTCACATGAGTATCATTTCCCTTTTCCATCAACTAGAAGCCACTGGATGTCCTTCTCTCAAAGAAAAATAGTAGAGAGAGTAAGTATATTCAGGTGGAAACACTCAGAATGGCTCAAAGTTTGATGTCTTTGATTTTGATAGTTGAGTTTGCAATTTATACAAGTACACCACAGAGATACTGTGGGTTCTGTTCCAGACCATCACAAGAAAGCAAATATCACAACAAAGCAAATCAAATGAATTTTCCAGTTTCCTAGTACATATAAATGTTATGTTTACACTATACTGTAGTCTATTAAATGTGAGATAGCACTACATCTTAAAAAAAAAATTACATACCCTAATTAAAAAATGCTTTACTGACAAAAAATGCTAACCATCATCTGAGCTTTTAGTGAGTCATAATCACTGATCACTGATCACCATAACAAATATAATAATAATGAAAAAGTTTGAAATACTACGAGAATTCTCTAAATGTGATGCAGAGACACAATGAGCAAATGTTCTTGGAAACATGGCACCAATAGACTTGTTTCATGCAGGGTTGCCACAGACCTTCAATTTGTAAAAAAATTATCTGTGAAGCACAATAAAGCAAAACTCAATACAACAAGGTATGCCTGCATAGTTTTGGGAAAGATAGATTTAAAAATATATGGAATTTCCATAAACAGGGAAAAGCTGCTCTCAGTATGAAAGGTGGGATAGATTATAGCAAAAATAAAATTTCAATTAACAGACAGGGAGGAGATGGAGATGATGAAATATTTCCCTCAATAGAAGAATCACAAAAAAATTTCAGATTCTAGTTTCTGCAAATACAACAAATGTAGATTCATGTCAGGAAGCTGCAGTGAAGCAATATAGCAATACAGCATAGTGTTGAAGGGTCTAAGTCTGGCGCCAAATCCCAGCTCTGGTCCTTGGGACCGCTGTGGCCCTGGGGAAACTACTTAGTATCTGTTTACCCCAGTTTCCTCATTTGTAGAATAGAGATGACAAAAGCAACTACTTCACAGGGCATTTTTGTAAGGAACTAAACAAATTAATATACATGAACCCCTCAGAACTATGTGTTCATGTAATGTGTTAAATATTTATTATTCATAAGATTATATCTAAGTGTATATAACATGTGCATATCATATTCCTGTACATTTTCATCTCTTAAACTTCAAACATTGCTGAATAGAATAGAAACCATTATTATTTCCCATAGAGAAGGCCAAAGTGGGTCTCCAGTTTAGGTCTTTCTGTCTGCAATAATGTGCTCTTCTTAGACACATCTGCAAGTTCAAAGCTGAATCTCAGGTGACAAGTCTGACTTGCCCCCCAGCCCTCTGAGGATGAGTCTTACATCATTTTTTGTCTTAATCATGGCAGTCACTGATGGTAAGTCAGCACTGACATGATTCTTGCAAGGCTTTGGATGTGTTTGAGAGCCAGTTCCTCAGGCTTGTTTGAAACTCATATCTATTTGATCGCTTTAAAAAAAAAAACAAGAAACAAATGTTTGGACTACTGATTAGGGCTTTATACAATTCAGTAGAATAAGAAACTCATCTGGTATGAAAGGACTGATTTTAAAAGGAGCCTCTTCTCAGGTTCATGGGAAGCTTCCATTCTGATGTAATCAATTCTCAGTCTGGCCAATGTTGAGGATGGCCTGTTCCTTCACATCCTCACCAATTCTGGGTTATATGGTCTAAATATTGCAAAGCCCATAGGCTAAGTAGTTTCTTATTGTGACTTATAGAACAGGTTGACTAGCCTGTTATGTTTATTAGTAATTTGTTTTTCATCTTGTGAGAACTGTGTTTTAAAATATCTTACCCTTGTTTCTATTAGATGATTTGTGTACTTCTTATTGGTCTCACGGTACTATTTGCAGATGAAGAATAACAAATCTTAGGGGTGCCTGGGTGGCTCAGTTGGTTAAGTGTCTGACTTTTGACTTCCACTCAAGTCATGATCTCAGGGTCATGATCGCAGGGTCCTGAGATGGAGCCCCTTGTTGGGTTCCACGTTTAGTGGGGAGTCTGCTTGAGATTCCTTCCCTCTACCCCTCCCCCCTCTAAAAATAAATAAATAAATAAATCTTAAAAATATAAGAATAACAAATCTTTGTCATGTATATTTCAAATATTCTTCCCATCCTGTTATAGCTTTAGCATTT